GCACTTAACAGCTGAGTATATTTGATATTTTCTCCAAAAGCCACATACAAATAGTCCAAAATTATGCGCACTGTATTTTTATTTCATCTTTTTTTTTTTTTACCTTTTTTCTTTTTATATTACTGTATAACTAAGATTAACAGTCAGGTGGGGAGGAGGACAGCTGTAATCTCTGTCTCCTCAGTCCATCTCTAGTGGCAACTCTGAACCACTTAAGAGTCCCCTGGAGCAGTCTTAACTTTTCTTGAGAGTAAGAGTGATTCTTAGACTTAAGAATCTTGATAACTGGCACTTACACTTAAGTCTGAGAGTAGGAGCAAATCTAAGACATTTTCAGCACTTAAGTCTAAAAATCCACTCTAAGAAGTTTGATAAATACGGGCCCAGGACTCTCACTGAAAACATTTCGTACTTCAGAAAACAAAACAAAATAAAAAATAAAAAAAGGCAAAGCAGAACCAGAATTAACATTCCCTCCAAAACTTCCAGAACTGGGCTCCACAGAACCTCGGGGTTCACAAACTGTTGTCAGAAGTAGAGGAGTTACTTCACAGATAGAAACATGGTCCGGTCAAAACCTTTTTTTTTTTAAAAATATTTCACAATGCCATCTTTCTCAAAATTACCGTTTAATTCATGAAAAATATACAATTTAGTTCCAACATTTATATTTACAGTGTTTTGTTTGTGAATAAAATATGGGTGTATGAGATTTACAAATCATTGCATTCTGTTTTTATTTACATTTTGTCCCATCTCTTGAAGAATTGGGGTTGATTTTTCTTTGGCAAAAGAATGCTTCGACTCAACTTCTACTTGCTGTTTGTTTGAGTTAAAGATTACAGATGATTGCAGCAATAACAAAATACCCCCTCATTATTCAATTTAGGTTTTATAATTGATATAATCTACTAATATCCAGGTAAGTGTGGCTTTGGCCACTTTAGTCTGCACAGCATCCTGGTAATTTTATCACCTTTGATCTGTGTCTTATGTTTGCATTTTATTTCTAATACTGCTCATAACAAAGACAACTACAAAACACATTTATTCTCTACTGCAGAAAAATAAAACAGCCATAATTGTATCAAAAATGGGCTTCCACTTTAATGAAAATATTGAGGGATTTTATTTCCAGGATTCCGCTAAATGAATTCAAGGGAGAAAAATAAAAATAAAATTTAAACTTCTTTTGTCTACATTTTTCTCCTGCTGTGTCCCTGATATCTTTCTCTTCGTTTGTCCCTGACCTCTTCTGGTCCAAATCCACACATCACCTGACTTCTCCTTTCGCTGGCTGCTCTGTCTCCCCTTCGCTTCACCATTTCTCTTCTATTTCCCACTACATCTATAAAAGCTACCACATGAAAGGGGGAAAGGATCGATCACTGCGTTTTACAGCAGGAGGGGCTGGACATCATTAGTTATATTTACATCGCCTCCTCCTGGGCAGAGTGGGGCAGGGAAGGAAAGATTCAGCATGGGCGATGGGGTCAGAAATCTTCTCATATTGATACTTCATACTCACGAGAGTCCTGCTGAGCATGGAAGAGAAGGTGGAAAAGCAGTGTTAGGTCCAGACAGACTGAACAGTTTGGTGCTGTGGATGCTTGGCACTTACTCCTCCCGTCTCATACAGCGGGTTGTCAAACTCCGTCTCCACAGTGATCTGTCGGTAAGGGTGCGGGTAGATCAGAGGCAGCCGCAGGTTGGACTGGTATCGGCACCTGTTGGGCAAAATCAGTTGAAACGTAAAAAGTCAACAATGAGACTGAGATTCAGATCAGAAGAATATTTGTAGATACAGGTGGCTTCATTCTTTGCGTACTTGAAAATTAAACACTTTACCGTTGTATTTTTGTGTTGTAAAAATAAATATGCAAGAAATAGCATCAAGACTTTAATACAGAAAAAAAGAAGTGTATATTAATTAGGCAGTTAAAGTTTATAACTTCCTAATTTTACATGTTCTTTAAGTTTGGATCAGTATTTTCTGTGCTGTGTATTGTCATATTTTCCTAATGTTTATTCTTCGGCTGAAATTTGGACCTGTGATCTTTTTTTATTATGAGCACCGCATGCGAAGTGTAATCAGGAGTCATATTGTTTTTGTACTGTTTTTTTAGAGAGATTTTTGTCAACCGTAGCACAAAAACGCCTGCACCAACCAACATGAAATGTGGCAGGGCTGTAGATGAGTCTGATCTACACTGCACCAGCCAACGGTTTTACCATAGACCTCATATTTGAGGAGGGGGCTCCTTTCAAAGTGGGGGTGTCTGGACATGCAAAAAATGCTTATAACTCAGAAACTGTTCAACATAAAAGCTTCAGATTTCTTTTGTTGTTTATCTCTGATGAAGCTCTATCCATCAGGCCCACCAATCAGTGCCCCCCACCCCTCCACCACCCCCAATTTATCNACAAGACACCAAATATAAAGGCAAACAAATTGAGACAATCGGAAACACCTGGGGAGACACAAGAGGGATCAGGTGTGCGTGAGCGGGGCTGTAGGGCAGAGCAACACAGACCATGACAGGACCCTCCCCTCAATGACGGGTCCCGACGTCGAAAAGACGAGATGACGAGACACAGGGGAAGACGCGACAACATAGACTCAAGGACAAAACACAGAGTTCAGGGGGACGGCCAATGGACCACCCCTCACGGAGCAGAACATCCGGAGGGCGGCTCAGAAAACCTCCCAGGTCCAAGGGAGTCCTGACAATGGGGGTGGACCCAAGGGAGAAGGCTGGAGCAGACGAGGAGCCCAGGGAGGAGGCGGGAGCAGACGAGGAGCCGGCAGAGGTTGTCGGAGCCAGAACTTCAGTGACGGCGAATGCAGGTGACAGAGGCGATGAGGAGGCGAAGGGCGACAACCCAGGCGATGGGGAGGCGACGGGCGACGCCCCAGGTGATGAGGAGGCGACGGGCGACGCCCCAGGTGATGAGGAGGCGACGGGCGACGCCCCAGGTGATGAGGAGGCGACGGGCGACGCCCCAGGCGATGAGGAGGCGACGGGCGACGCCCCAGGCAATGAGGAGGCAATGGTGGTCAACTCTCGAACCACCAGGACCGCCGAGACCTCTGACTCAGAAACCACCGAAACCTTCAACTCCGGGACCACCGACTCAGGAACCTCCGGGACCTCCAACTCCGGGACTACTGGGACCACCAGCTGTGGAACCACTGAACATGGAACCACTAAAACCACCGACTCAGGAATTTCCGGGACTTCGAACTCCGGGACCACCGGGGCCATCAGCTATGGAACCACCGACTCAGGAACTTCCGGGACTTCGAACTCCGGGACCACCGGGGCCATCAGCTATGGAACCACCGACTCAGGAACTTCCGGGACTTCGAACTCCGGGACCACCGGGGCCATCAGCTATGGAACCACCGACTCAGGAACTTCCGGGACTTCGAACTCCGGGACCACCGGGGCCAT